CTACACGTAATTGACTTCCGAACCCAATTTTGATTTTACAGATTATTTTTAGAAGAGTTTTTTAAATACTTTTCTCTTAAAATAATTTATTGGTAGCAACTCCATCAAAATATGTTTGTGTTATCTCGCCATGATTTCAGTTACGACAATATTTTATTATATTAGATATAATAAAATGTGATTACACTACTAGAAAAGTGTCATTTTTTTTGCGAATTTTCTTGCAAAAAAATATTTGCAATTTTTTTTTTGTGAATTTTCTTGCAAAAAAATATTCGCAGAAATTTTTTATGATTTTTCCTGCAAAAAAAATATTCGCAGAAATTTTTGACGAATTTATTTGCGAAAAATAATTTACAAATATTTCTTACAAATTTTGCTACAATTTTAATAATCATAGAAATTTTTTTCCATGGTAAAAATTTGCAAAAAATATTGTAAGAATTTTATTTTGTTTCTTGTAGATTTTCTTGCAAAAATAAATTCACAAGTAATGTTTACTAAATTGGTAGAAAAATTTTGCAGGTAACTTTGCCTGCGGATTTTCCTACAAATTTTAATCCGCAGGAAAAATAAAAAAAAAAATTTAAATTTATGAGTTTAATATTTTTAAAAAACTTCAAGTCTCACATCGATTGAAAATAAAGCAATTAAAGAGGATATAAGTTGGGGCAACACTTACCTTACAAGTTGATTTGTATGGTTGAGTATTAAGCTTATAATCTACAATTTTAGAATTTAAAAGATTATATATTACATGTTGGAGGCATGAAAACAAATATTTCGTTTGAATTCATTGTGAGCATTTGAAAGTTGAAAAATTATTGATAGAATTTATATTAATTTCTTTAATTTTTTTTCGTAAAAATATTCCTGCCAAATTTCTTGCGAAAAATTCGTAGGAAACTTTCTTGTGAATTTTCTTGCAAAATTTTTTTGCAGGAAACTTTCTTGCAAATTTTCCTGCGAAATTTTTTTACAAGAAACTTTCCTGCGAATTTTTTTCGCAAGAAATTCCGCAAGAAAATTTCCTGCGAATTTTAAAATTCGCAAAAATATATTATCCACGAAAGTATTACCTGCAGATAAAATTTTACAAAAAAAATTTGCAGAAACAATATTTCCTGCGAATTTTTCATAAAAATTCACAAGAAAAATCGCATATAATAAAAAAAATTCTAGTAATATTAATAATATATATTTTATAAAACAATTAATATTTTATATAAAAAAGAATGAAAAAATTTTTAATGAAGACTCCACTAACATTAATATACTGTTATAAATTAAAGATATTTATCACCACTAACATTAACATAAACATACATCCGTCCTGAATCAATACAATGTTATAAATTAAATATATTTATCTTTGAAGGAAAAGTTAATCTAGAAGTAAAGTAGAATGCAATGATTAATAGAACAGACTATAGATAATTGCATATATGACATATCCATAACTTTGATTTGCACGTAACACAATTATTCATATCAAAGATTGTTCTGAAATATCTAGATAAGAACTTTGCCGAAAGGCTAAGTAAGTATACATGTTTTTCTCAGAAACTTTACCAGATTAAGTCAAGAAACAGAAATGTGTATATTTTCATGCCAATCCTATTCTGCATTAACTTATTCATGAATTCAAATTCTGTCTTATTCAAATGATGATAATGGCTCGAGAGAGTCATTTATTATTTAAGTCGAATGTTAGTAGGGGTAGAAATTAGATATTCCCCTTTAGAGAAATTATGTTTAAGTCTTTATGTTGCTTGTACAAAGTTGAAGTATTATATTAAGACTCGTGATGTTATAATATTTTGTCGAAGTAATGTGATTAAGTATATGTTGTGTAAACCTGCTTTACATTCTCGAGTTGGTAAATGGGCACGTGCATTATCTGAATATTCGTTAACTTTCGAGCCGTTAAAAGCAACTAAAGGTCAAATAATTGCGGATTTTCTCGCGGACCACTCGAAAGAGACAAAGGAAGTTATTTACTTAACCACAAAACCTTGGCAATTATATTTCGATGGCTCTAAACACGAATTGGGCGCTGGAATAGGTCTTTTAATCATATCCCCCGTAGGGTTCCCAACTAAGTTATCATTTGAAACGAACAAAAGGTACTCGAACAATGAAACTGAGTATCAGGCATTAATAACGGGACTCAAAATTCTCGAAGAGTTGGGCGCTCGAAATGTATTGATTCAAGGTGACTCACAATTAGTTATTTAAAAAGACATACAAAGAATACTTAAGGCACACACAAAGATTGATTCACAAGAATTTAGAACATGAACCAAAATCAAACATGACAAGGTGAGTGTGTTCTATAGATTGATGGATGTGACACAAGAACCACTCAAGGCACACAAACTCAAGAAAATAAAAGCAAACACTTATAGGAACAGTTTAGACACAATATAAGATGTATTTGACCGAACAAAATGGAAGAAGAAAGCTCAAGAATGAATTTACCAAGGAGACCTAGCTCTTGATACCAAATGATGGAAAACTTGATGGAGAATCCGGATTGATGTGAATCCTCTTGAAGTTCCTCCCTAGACCTTTGGCTCCTTGATTCTTCTTAAGCTTCTATAAGGTCTCTAATGGAGGAAGAGACCTTAGAAGCACCACGGTTTGGTGGGGAACTCTCTCAAGAGACGCCACTCCTTGGTGAAGAGATAAGTCTCTTCAATTCTCACCACACTCTTCTATAGAAGGGATAAGAGAATTGGATGAATATCAAAGAGGTTAAAGACTTTTGGAAGAGAGAATTTTCGTGCAAATTCTAATCTCACTCAAAAATATCATCCAAAAGTATTTTACAATGAAGGAAAAACGAAAATATAGGAGTAGGAAGCTTGGAGAGCAAGCTAGCCTTAACCATGGTTCACTAGGAACCATGGTAAGGTCTAGCTAACCTTCCATGGTCTAAAGGCTTAGAGAGCAAGCTACTCACTTAGCTTGCTTGGTAAGCAAGCTAAGGAGAAGCTTGTGCTTCAAGCTTCTAAGCTTGAGTGTGAACAAGCAATGTGAACACAAATCAAGGTGGGCAGGCCATCTCGAGGTTCTAAGTGTTGGTTCTTCGAATCA